TCCACTTAGAGCCTGTGGACTTAAGCCAGCCAATCAATAGCCCAGTTTGACCCTAAGTTATGTTCGAGAATTGCTGGATAGTGACTGTAAGTTACGATGCGGTTCAGACACCAGCTGCCGGACAACTTCAAATTGTGGGGTCGTGTTTGCACTTGGCCTCTGCTGCGGTAAAACACGTTCGGGTTTATTTATTTTTTTGGTTTTTGTTTTAATGAGAGTCTTTGTTTAATTTTTTTTAATGTGTTTTTTTGGGGGGGGTTTATGTGTCTCAGTGGGGTTTTTAGTTGTAGGTTTGTGAAGGGTTTAAATCTTTAACTCTTAATTTGCTGACTTGGCCTAATTCGGTTTAGTAAATTGACCCAACTGTTTGATGACAGTGACCTAGAGTGGTTTAATTATTTCACCAAACAGTGTGATAGAAGTGTGTTTAGACTGATTTAGCATACCTTAACCTGACCTGAACTGACTTTGTATACTTTAATATGAGAATTGCTGTAGTAACATGACTGGGACAATTTCATCTACTTAACATAACTCATAATAGGGAGTTGACTTCAGACATGACTCATCTCCCTCACCTGTACAAGTTTAGTGTTAAGACCTTACCTGGCTTATCCAGTTCACCTGAGATCGTGAGTTTAACCAAGTAAGATGGATATATTTCTTAGCGCATAAATTATTTGAGTTAAGTCATATCACCTGATTACCTGTACACATGGCCCTGCCTAGACGGATACAATGTGTACCTGATTGTAATGAAGGTGATAAATACATTAGCATCCACGATAAGAAGATAAACAACATATACACATAATAGCGGTTTTAACGTAATGCAATCCTCCATTGACATGACTGATGGAAGTTTATAGCCCATGGGATATGTTTCTTTTTAGCTTAACTTAATCATTAGAAGGATTTTCTTGTTTTACTTAATTTACTTGTGTGTTAATGTAAACGTTTATATAAGATATACTGGATAAGATAGGTTAAGAAAGGATTAATTATGGTAAGGTTAGATTTAGTGTGTGTATGTGTGTGTGTGTGTGTGTGTGTATGTGTGTGTGTGTGTGTGTGTGTGTGTGTGTGTGTGTGTATGTGTATGCACGTGTATGTATATGTGTGTGTGGGTTGTACAAAACATAATGGAGAATGAGCCCCAATTTTCACCAGTAATTGGGGTACAGTACAGCGGGAATATGTCAGGTGTCACTACACAGTCCTTGTAAGTACACACAGTACCTGAGTATAATGTTTAGCTAAAATACACAGCATATAATATATTTATACAGGAAGAAAAATCTGTAGTCTTGTTATTACTGTGTGTGTGTGTGTGTGTGTGTGTATGCGTGCGTGTCTGTTATCTATGTATGTGCGTAAGTGCGTAGGTGTGTGTGTGTGTGTGTGTGTATCTACCTGTGTGTATTTGAACCAAAAATATTAAATCATATACACTTTTAAGTTTTCAATAATTTATATCCGTTTTTATTACAAATTTACGATGGTATATATTTTTTTCGGTAGTGCATTAAGATACACCTCTCCCTTGATCATTAGGTCTCTCTCTCTCTCTCTCAATATTTTAGAATCTATAGAGCTGAGATCACGAGGATGTGTTTATATGGAGTACTCATGGGCGGACGTATAATAATAATGATGATAATAATAATAATAATGATAATAATAATAATAATGATAATAATAATAATAACAATAATAATAATAACAATAATAATAATAACAGCGACGACAATAAGCTCCACTTCAGCAAACACACATAATAAACACCTAAAAAAAATAGTTAACAAAAGACAGGAAATAAAACAATAAATTGCATCCCCCCAAAAAAATGTCACACGAAAACAGCAACAAGATTGAAGGTCATTAATGATGTAATAAAAAGTATATATTAACATAGCGAAGTTAGCGATAGAGTTAGCAAGATTAATAGACACCCCGTAGACGTTTAGTGTGGAGGGCTGTGGTCGCCAACCCTCATATGATAAACGGTAATATAGAATGAGTTGATGTGATGGATGTTAAAGAAAAAATACGATGTAACAGGGAGTTCCATATAGTAACTAATATGGTATATGAATGACCTCTTGGCGATTATATAATATAGGAAAAATTATATCTGGTAGACAGTTCCACACAATACTATTTAGAGATATAATAATATATATAAATGATATAAAACGTTGATAGTTATATAAGAAAAGACACTATATCCGGTATATACGTGAATTCCGGTCGATACAAAGTCTTATCCACTTAGCTATCTGGTCACATCCGGCTCCTCCACCGTTTGATGTTATGTTGCAGTACCATTAGCCACCGTCTCTTCAACATGCAACATTCATGGTTCTCACAAATTCGTATGTTACGTACTCTCTCGGGTGGAAAGGTTAAATCGTATCTAATTTGTACATTAACGCTACCTGGTGACATTAGGTGGTAATTAATAATGAGATTAATGATATTTTTATCTGAATTGATTAAATTATGATTCTTGGTACTCTCTCTCTTTCTCTCCTCCAAATATATATATATATATATATATATATATATATATATATATATATATATATATATATATATATATATATATATATATATATATGTGTGTGTGTGTGTGTGCAAGCGTAATAATTAGTGCCGTGACATCTCAGACCTATTCAAATTTCTTCACGACTACTGTACGTCTATGACACACACACACACACACACACACACATACAGGAAGAGTAGAGGGAAGTAAACAGTCTATTGATACGTTGTACTGTGGCGGTCAATAGCCAGGAAGGAAGTTGTTGTGGCTAGTTTTGAGGAAACATTGTCAAGTGTAGCGACCAGGGACCGGTGGGTGTCTGAAGGTGTTGTTGACGCGTGAGAGAGAGAGAGAGAGAGATGCAATGTGTCTGTCATAATAATAATAATAATAATAATAATAATAATAATAATAACAACATATTCAATAATATACTTCAACATTATCAACAGTTATTAACTTAATTTCCCCCATTATAATCTTAAGAGGGGGGGGGGGTGAAGTCTCCTCTGAACACCGAAAAACCACCCAAACATCAAAGCATTTTAATAGTATAATCGAGACTCTCTCATGTGTCTGTCAGGGGTGTACCGCTCCTATTATCTGGGGTTTATTACCAGTGTGCATATATTATATATGAGCCAAGTGATATATAACTATAGTAAAACAGATGTTATCAAGGCTATATAAATGCTTTAACGACGCCGACTGGTCTTGTTATATAAACCTCGTCAGAAAACAGCGATAACTCGGCTTTTCTGATGCAGGAGAGTTATTGTGCTGTAGGAATGACTTTAATTATCCTTGAATTGACCTCGTTTGATGATAGTTAATGAGTTTGTTGTCTTTCTTTCTTTTTTATTATTATTATTATTATTATTATTAGTAGTAGTAGTAGCAGTAGTAGAAGTAGTAGTAGTAGTAGTAACATTATGTCATTAGTACTCTCATTATGATTATTCTATTAATTAGATTATTATTATTATTATTATTATTATTATTATTATTATTATCTGTAGTAGCATTAATAATAGTAATATCAGTAGTATTATCACTATTATTTTATCAGTATTATCATTACTATTTGCCCTATTATAATTTTTTCATTTCCATTTTTATTTTCACTGTTCCTGTGTTCCTAACCACCATCTTTATCATCCTTACTCTCTCATCCACGCTATTCTTAATCACATTCTTTCCTATAATACCACCAAGTAATAGCTATTTATTTTTAGTAATATAATCTCATGCTAAAATAGACCATTCAAGTGTATTAAAAAATTCCCAAATATTTAACAATATCTAGTGTCTTTATAATTGTGGGTCTTATATATAATTGGTAGATTCAGGGATTTTTCAGGTAGATTTAGGAAATTTTCTGGGAGATTTAGGGATTTTTCAGGTAGATTTAGGAAATTTTCTGGTAGATTTAGGGATTTTTCAGGTAGATTTAGGAAATTTTCTGGGAGATTTAGGGATTTTTTACGTAGATTTAGAGATTTTACAGGTAGATTCAGGTACATTGTTAATATAGTCTAAGGTCACTCATCTAAAAACTACACATTTTATATGATGAAAAAATAATTTACAATAAAATTTTTAATTCTTATGATACAAAATTTTAATTCTAATTATACAAGAATTAAGTTAAAGTAAGGAACGATGAAGCAGTTTTTACATGTTAGTTAAAAATAATAAAAATAACTGATGATTCGTTAAATAAAAGAAACTGATAAAATGGAAAAGATTTCTTATGGGGAAAGTTGAAAGATAATTGTTTTGTTTGCATGTAACATTGGCACATATGGAGAGTTGATTATGTTGTTTTATTTTATAGGATAAACAATAAACAATAAAAATGAAAAATGTATTTTTATTGTTAAAAAAATCAATACAAATAATTTATCGCCAAAACACATAATAACAGTTTAGTTTTTTACGGAAAGCTACCGGGGAATTTAACTTGACTAATATTAATGCATTTTGGGAATAATATAACCTAACAACAGATGGAAGTATTATAGATGGGATAATTAGTTATACTGTAATTAGAGTTTATTGTATATAATTATCTTATTATAAAGGAATCAATCTTAGACGGTCTTCAACAGAGAAATTTACAGTGTTTGAAGAATAATGCTTGGAGTAAATATATTGCTTGTTTCTCTTATAGCAAACACATTAATCACTATGAAACATGACCTTTATTATGCTCTACATTATTCTTGATGTCTATTACTATCTCACTCATATATGCGTGTTTGTTTTAGGGAAATAATAGTGATTTTTTTATGATGATATTGTCTTTGAGTCTATTGGTAATTAATTATATATTATCAGGTGTTATGCAGGTAATTAATTAGATATTCTCAAGTAATCTGCAGGTGATTAATAATATCATGTTATTTCCCTGTTTGTGACCATTTATCTTACCCTTGTTTACTTCTTGCAGATGCATGGTACAAGCATTGTAAGTAACTCAACAACTTGTTTTGACGTTAACCTAACTACCTATTGCTTCCCTGCTCTTAAGTATATTCTGCTACTTAATACTTAGATTTTGGTTTTTTTTATGATTTTACTTATAAATTTAATGTCTAGTTGTGTGTGTCATATCTCGTTTGCTTGGTGCCTTTACTCCTGGTGTGTGTGTGTGAGAGAGAGAGAGAGAGAGAGAGAGAGAGAGAGAGAGAGAGAGAGAGAGCATGTGTGTGTGTGTTTATCTAAGTGTGTGTAATATGTGTATGTGTAAGACTGTATGTATGTATGTGTGTGTGTTACTGTCACTTGATGCCTTGCTCTTATGTCTCTGTGCTGTGCTATGGGGGGCTTTATTGTCATGATAAATGCTAACTGTTAACTCACTGTAATTGGTGGAGGTGTTGCCATCTGTGTACCTTCTGTATAGTAGTGTTTTAATGGGCACCTATTGGTTGGGTATTGGTGATGGCTGTCCTCTGGGTGTTTGTCCATAATAATAATGTGAATGTTGTTTTACCATTATTGTGTTTATATACTGTACATGCATACATACGTACATACATACATACATACATACATACATACATACATACATACATACATACATACATACATACATGAGTTGCTCTAGTTATAAATACACAACTCAGTAGCACTCAGTAACGTGTGTGTATAATGTCCGTCACAGCAAAACACATATATGGTACCATAGCCACATATGTCTCACACATGAGCCATTTATAAATCATTTAGAATTTTTGGGGGAATATTCCAGTTACTTATATAGGCAGGTGTATAGGCAGGTATATAACAATTAATCATAGTAGTTATATATGTTATAGTTTACTTATATAACTAGGTAATATACAGTTACAAGATAGGGAATTATTAGTTAATTTATATGACCAGTTAGTGTGGGTCTGTTAGTTTCACCAGTCAGATACATTCTACAGTCAATTCCTTCAGTCAGCTACATCATATACAGTCATTTCCTTGGTATTATATTATTTACTAGGTCAGTTAATCTCCTGTCAGTTTATCTTAGTCAGTTTACACAGTTATACATTCAACAGACAATTATTTTAGTCATCTACACACTTCATACAACCAGTTACTAGGCTAATTGGTCAGTTAGTCTCCAGTTAGTAGCAGTCAGTTACACAGTCAGATCACTAGGAAGGGAGGTAAAGCCCTGAACATGTGTAGAATCACCTGTGGTAGTGATAAACATGTGACTGTGGCGGGCGTTACCAGCTAGTAAGTGGGGAGGGGGAAGAGGAGGAGGAAAGGGGGGTAAGAGAAGAAGGGGGAGGATGGGAAAGGGGTAGGAAGAGGAGGAAAGGGTGAGGAATAAAAGGAGGAGGAGGATGTGTAAAGAATAAAGAAGAAGAAGAGGGTGAGGAGGGGGATGCAAGAGGAGGAGGAGGGGGATGGAAGAGGAGAAGGAGGAGGGAAGGGGGGAGAGAATAAGAGAGGGAGATGTATTGGGGTGAAAGAGTAGGAAGATGAGGAGGAGAAAGGGGAACGGGAGAAGAGAATAAAGGACTAAGAAGAAGAGAACGAGGAGAAAACTGAGAGATACGGGAGAAAGAGAAGGAGAAGGGAATAAGGGATTAGGGAGAGGAGGAGAGGGAGGGATATGAAAAGCAAAGGAGGAGGAGGAGGAGGAGAGAATTAAGGTTAAAGGATAATAGGGAGGAAACTAGGGAGGTAGAAAGGGAGAATAAGGGATTCCCACACTATTTATAGAGAGATGGAGGGAGAAGGGAAATAAGAGAGGGAGTAAGGGGGGGAGAGGATAGGGTTAGGGAGGGGGTAAGGGGAAGGGGGAGGGGTGAGACAGGTGTGGAGGCAGGTGAAGTAGTACCACGGTATTCATCAGTCATATTTACCTAGCTCTCTCTTTATCTTTCTTTCTCTCTCTCTTACTGTTTCTCTTTACTTTCTCTCATTTCCTTGGTAAATATTTCTCTCCTACTGATCTAAATACATTCTATATAATATTTACCTACTATATAAACTTTCAATAAACATAACTATATACATTGGACATACAGTCATACACCTCTCAGATGTTAGAAGGAAATATTGAATTTACATACATATTAATAATAGCTTTTCCTATCGAGTCTCCACAGCATTCAATAAATCTCTTTTAATGAACTTAATTACGGTCAAATTGATGTGTTAATGAGACTTGGTACTCGTAATGAGGCTAAATACAACACACACACACACACACACACACACACACACACACACACACACACATACACACACACACACACATTAACCACCATCAACACTACTACCACCATTAATCAACACGGGCCATAACCAGTATCGCAACAACTACTACCACAATCGTGTCATCCAACTAGCGTGGTTTATGGGGGTTGTAGATATACCATTAGTTACGGTATAGACTACAGACCATTACCATTAGCCCCTTTGGACCATAAACAAAGGGGAGAGATACCCTTTTCTGCCCCTTAGACCCTTTTTATTCCATATATTCTCGTTAGATTCACTTTTTTTCCAAATTTAGGGGAAAAAAGTCTTGCCTATATATTTAAGTAGATTAATTCTTTCCCCACCCATGTCCTGATTTCCATTTTTTCCCCCACAACAGGGATAAAATTATACCTCTAGCCATTACGACAATTACTTTCTTCCCACACTTAAAATTCTTCCCTCCTCAATTTTTCCCTTTTTTTCTTTCATATTTTTTTTTATTCTCACAAGTATGTCAAGCTTCTATTTTTTCCCCCTAACAATCGGGGAAAATTCTCTCATGCCACTACGTCAATTAATTCCTTCCTACATCTACTTAAAACACCCCTCTCTCTCTCTCTCTCTCTCTCTCTCTCTCTCTCTCTCTCTCTCTCTCTCTCCTACCCTACCATTCCTCCTCTATCCATCATCATCTTCTCCCTCTCTCCCCTCTGAATTTATCTCCCATCCCCTCCTCTCCCAATATCCTCTACCAGTTTCACTCTTCTCCCCCATCTCGAGGCCTCTCCTCTTCCTCCTCCTCCTCCCCATCTAAAAATCTTCCTCCCATTCCCTCTTCCTCTTCTTCTCCCTAATTGAAACCCTCCCTTCCCACTTCTTCTCTCACTTCCCATTCCTACATCATCATCCCCTCTTCTCCCCACACACCCCTCCATCACCCCTCCTCCATCCATCCAGCCCTTCTCCTACCAACCACTCACCCCCCTTCCTCCTACCTTCCCCCGGCGCACCGCAACAAGCCGCACCTTACCGCACCCCGACCGCCGGTAACGCACGCCTCCGCTCCCGTGTTCCCTGACAGCCTCTTAATAAATATTTGCAACTTCCTACACGCCACCGTCACGCTCACTCCCCTCGCCCTCCCCATGCCTCCCCCTGCCCCTCCCTCTCGCCCCCTCCCTACACTCCCTTTCCCACGTTCCTACCCCCATGCCCCCCCATGTACCTCCATCCATGCCTCTCTCCAAACCTCCCCCCCACCACACCTCTCCCTCCTCAACGCCCTCTCTCCCTCCCCTGCACGCCTTTTCCCACGCCCGTCCTGCCTGACTGACGCTCGGGCTCTTGCTGTCTGTCCGTGGCTGTGCACTGCTCCCGTTGGACTATCTGTTGTCGGTGTTGACTTTGTTGTCCTGTGCTGTCTGTTGTTGATCTGCCTTAGAGCGCGAGGGTAGAGGGGTAGGGTGGGTGAGAGAGAGAGAGAGAGGGTGGTGCTGTGAGAGAGGGAGGAAAGAAGGTGCATTGCTAGAGAGAGAGAGAGAGAGAGAGAGAGAGAGATTGCAGAATTTAAGAGCAGTTATTATTATTATATGTATTTGAAATTATATGTATTTGCGTCACCATTACGAATAGGTAATTGTTGTAGTGTAGATAACGATGAGGTCTTGTATCTTCCGGTCTGGTGTGTCGTAAATAAACACACACACACACACACACACACACACACATACACACACACACACACACACACACACAACACACACACACACACACACACACACACACACACACACGCACACACATTCGCAAGTAACTGACACAAAAATACTTATTGGCACCAGATAATCATCGTCTCTGGTGATTTATAAAGTATCCTATTGGCTGAAACACTCAACCAATAACATCCACTGCTTTGTCGGCATTGTCGCATCCAACCAATCACGAACCGTAAATACATATGACGTCAGGAATGTTTTTTTTTCGATTTATTTTTCGTTCCATTATATACTATTACAAATTATTCAACTAGATTATAGTCCTATAATCTGGAGTAAAAAAGTCAGTATATATAATTTTGGTGCAGGTTGTGATGTGGTTCAAGTGTGGTAGAGATGTGGTTCAGGTGTGGTAGAGGTGCAGCTCAGGTGTGGTTTAGGTGTGGTAGACATGTGGTTCAGGTGTGGTAGAGGTGTATTTCAGGTGTGGTTTAGGTATGGTAGAGATGTGGTTCAGGTGTGGTAGAGGTGTATTTCAGGTGTGGTTTAGGTGTGGTAGAGGTGTGGTTCAGGTGTGGTAGAGATGTGGTTCAGGTGTGGTAGAGGGGGTGGTTGTTCTGTGGTTCATGTGTGGTAGAGGTGTGACTCAGGTGTGGTTCAGGTGTGGTCGTGGTATGGTAGAGGTGTGGTAGAAGTGCTATTAGGTCAAAGGAAGGTTGATGTATGCAAGGACAATAATTATCATTTCTTTGTAAATAAATAAACATGAAAAATAAAAAAATAAAAATAATCCCAATAATTTCTGTCATGGTGTACTGTACATGGTGGCAGATGTACATGATAAAATGAACACTGATAAAACCATATACAGTTAAACACTTCAGAACAGAACACTTGTTAGGCTTGAGCTGAATGGTGGTGGTAGTGGAGAGTGTGGTGGTGGAAGAGTGTGGTGGTGGTGGTCGAGTATGGTAATGGTGGTAGAGTTTGGTAGTGAGTGTGGTAGTGGTGGTAAAGTGTGGTAGACAAGTGTGGTAGT